GCTGATACCATGTTAGGAATATTGAGCCTAACTCCACCTAATAAAATCGGCTTATTAGGGAAGGATTGCCCTCACCTTATAAAGTGGATCATTTATATTTTCCCAAACAATGTGGGATTCTAATAATCCGCGTGCCATTGAATCGAACTCATAAGTATATTGTACGTCAAGATGGCGCCAGAATATTCCAAGTAAAATTTGACTTCTCCAAAGAAAAAATCGAGGAGTTTTTGATAAGGATTCTGCACGTGTTTGCATGGAGGCACAAATGACATAATAGGAATTTATCCCTAGGTGTCGTACCAAACTTTGAAGACCGATCTCAGATTCTACTCACAAGTAGATGAGTATACCGCCTAACCCGGAGAGAGATGCAACGTTGAAAAAAGAGGTCGACTAGCTGGAATCAAATGGCTCTACAGGGAAAGCTCAATGTCCAGACTGGATAGCAAATTCAGTCCTCATCCAGAAGCCCAACGGGGGTCAATTTAGCCCCCATTCGAGAGGTTTTAGAGTCCAATTATTGATTCTTCAACCATCAAAGGTTATTTTGATATTTTTTTCCTCTAAAAATAAAAAAAATGTTTGAAGGAAAATTTCGGAATGAAGTATAATTAAAATGTCAATTTAATCCTAATTAACTAAATTAATTCATTTTCTATCCTAGTGTTATCGATATTTCAAAAGTAATTTGTGAAACCAAGTGTGATGTTGTAAAGGTAATTTTAATTCATTTGAATATTTCTATCATACATATAGACCATGCTTTTATTTTGTAATTTTATAAATTTGAGATTTAATAGATATTATAATTATTTTTAAATAACTACAATTAACATATCATCGTAGAAAAATATTTTATAGCATTTACATGTCTTATTAGAAGTAAAAATAAACTTTATATAAAATCTTTATAATTTATGTCCATTTCTTCATAGAGGCATTCGACGAAGAACTGGAATTTTAGTGGACTTGGTGGCTCTTCTATAGGAATGGGATGGGAACGGCGCAGATTGGTGGGTGAACTTATCTTTATTTACTGATGTAAATTGTGGTTCGTGTTGCTGTTGAAAATTACAATGGAGAATACACCGAGAATTGAAGAAGAAACAAACCAATGTAGCAGCAACCAAACGCGAACTTGAAGATAAGAAATCAAACTTGAAACATCAACCAAAAGACTTGATCACGATACTGTTGTCCTCAAATAATATTTGCCCCCTTTAAGATTGAAATTGCTTGAAGGGATGATGGCAAATGGTTTGCAGAATTTAAACAAGCCTTGTAAGGATTAAACTCAAACAATTAAGTTTAATCCTCCAAAAATCAAGAACACAATGAAA